AGACCAGACGAAGATGCCACAGGGTCCTCAGATAAGCGCACGTAAAACAAGCTTCTTGAAGCGACAGATAAAGATCGAATTTGTAGTACTTCACCAGAGTCTTGAATACGGGTCTCGGATAGACAACAAACATCAATATTAAGACTTTCCAAAGACATAGCCAGCCCTATCTGTTGTCCGACCTGCATAAATGTGCGAACGTTGAAGGCAGCTAGTTTGAGTGGTGCATGTGGTTTCAGAAAAATTGCTTCAGTATTCGTATTTGGTGGTAGCATACAATTTTCCACCAGGTAGTGACTCGAGAACGTTTAGATAGAATCGAGTTTCCACCATAGGCGAGCTGCTGTATAAGTCGAAAAATAAGGATACATAAAGTGGGAATAAAAGAGAGTGAATAAGTGACGTGGTAAATAATAATAATGTGAATTGTTTGACTGTCAATTGAGGCGTGAATAGAATTTTCAGTAAATATAATCATTTTCACCTTCACTTTATTTGTGTGTGGGCTGTGATACTGCCCGGATGCCCAGACCGAAGCAGGTGGTTATCTTAGGGGGCCACACCCCGAGCCTTTGACCTAAAGGTCTAACCCACAAGGCAGTGGAGCATCGTAAGGAGATGCAATCCCATGGTAGCCGGTGACCGACGATTGGTTCATACGCCATTCGTTCCCGCAGGATACTGGAGCCCATGTGCACCACTGGTTTGGAATCCGGTTAAAGCGCCGGACATTCGCTTTTCGTAAACAACACCCCCGCCACGAGAAGGCAATGAGTAGGACTTCCCTGGCAGAGGCTGTATACGCGTGGCCGTGCGAGAGTATTTCGAGAGGGAGAGCGGACTCTCCCTACTCTCGGCCGTACCAGGGCATTCAGGGGCCAGATACGCGCTCGCATTAAAGCATGATCTGAATCTAAGCATGTGCTCCAAAACGAGCGATAGTCTTCTATCGAGCCCCTCCATCGGTGGCTGATAGCGATTTCGATCTATATGGGTCCAACGTTGGGACGAATTCGGGGGTCGCCATGTTAAAAAATGATTTACTTATGCTTAAAGTTAGTATTTGCAAGAAACGGGTGGTTATCTGAGCATAGCTGCAACAGACGGTCGCCATTATCTGTTCTTTGAGCCGCGACCCCATGAGATCCACTCAGGTATCTTTCCCTTTCGCTTAGTTTACTTACTTGAGCATTAAAGTCACCAGCCACTATTACTACATCCGAGCGCCTAGCTTTCCGGAGGTCAGAAAGCTTTTTGTAAAACTCATCTTTTACATCATCTGTGCTGCAGTCAGTGGGAGAGTAGGCAGAGACGACGAAGAGGCAACGACGAATATCCCTATCTTTCCGAGTCCTTACTGTTCCGTTTAGTTGGACAGCGCACAAACGACTGTCTACCGGGATCCAGTCTAAGAGAGCTAGTTCTGCCCTAGGACTCAATGCTATACCTGTGCGGGCGAGGCCACGAGAAGCAGCATATGGGCTTCCAGATGCACGAAGTGTGAATCGAGTTGGTTCTCTATTTTGATATGATGATGTTAAATGAGTGACGCTACTCGGATCCTGTGTGCGCGCTTTGGAGACGCAGCACACATCGATGGCGCGAGATTCTAAAGTCCTAGCTAAGGAAGCCTGTTGTCCTATTTGGCACAGAGTTCGGACGTTATAAGCTCCAACATGAAGTTTAGAGCGTAGTTTCAGGAGACCAGAAATAACGTTCCGCATACTCGAATTGTTTGCCCTAGCGGTGCGAGGTGATAAAGTGACATGAGAAGGGTTAGTCGTGGAAATAAGAGCGGTATTAGAAGGTGTAGGAAAGATTTGAATGTGACCAACTTGGTTTCGTGTGCTGTTACGGGTATGAAGGCTGATGTCACTTCCCGGCTGCCCACACCGTGGAAGGGTATTTCTTGAGGAACCTGAAAAGGAAGTTCGATTAATGTTGGCCTTCACGACCTGGGAGCGTGACCGCAGAGCCCAAGGGACAACTGCTTGAGGCCAGTCGCGCACAGCCTTTTTGTGGAACGTTTTTGACGTGTTAGCTCCGTTCTCCAAAGAGCCTTACCGCCGGAGACGGAAATCCGTGGGACAAGGCAAGGTGTGCATTTAAGGGCTGACCTTTTCTAACCCCACCCCTCCTTGTGGGAAGGCAGCATCGTTGCCACACTCCTCTACAGTCAGCAGTACGACTTCGCTCTCAGACCTTGAGTTGCTGATTTTAGTCTTACCGTTCTCCAACCGACCTGCCTGGCATGGTAGAACCTACAGGAACATATGTTCCAGCCAATATAACTCGGTTGGGTCATCACGATAGGCAAGCGTCAATGTAGCAGACACGGTGTCGTCATGCCCAAATAGATACAATAAGCTGTCCAAAGTTTCAAAGGACCGCGTCTAAGCTGATTCCTGGAATGGCAAAGCTCCCATGTGACGATGGACTGGCTAAACTAAATCTGTATCCCTTGTCATATAGAAGAACCAGAGGTGACTCTACCGGCCATTCTTATTGTCTTCCATAACAGATAATTTGCGAGGACAGTGAAAAAGTTCATTAGCCCATAACAAATCACTTGTCAGTTGACTACCGACTTTCCCTTCGAATCATCAACAATTGGAACTTGCTACTTCAACTCGTAGTTGAAGCTTCATCTGTCAAGGCTTTCAAAAGAAAGATCAACTGAGACCACCATTGTTAGGACTAACATAGGCTGCCTAGTCTCCTGTCCTTTTCATATTGAAACTAAATGAGATAGATAGATGTTAGTTCGTTAAGACTATAATTTATCGACAACCTTTCAGCGAAGGTAAAGTGACTCTGGAAAAATGCACTTACTAAGTTCAAAAGTTAATATTGGGTGCAAGAGTTAAGGTTTTCATCATAAACTGAAATCAGCTATAATGCGAAAATTCGTGCCCCCAAATGCCCTAGTACGGCCGAGAGTAGGGAGAGTCCGCTCTCCCTCTCGAAATGCTCTCACATGGCCACTACCAGGGAAGTCCTGCTCACTGCCTTCTCGTGGCGGGGGTGTTGTTTACGACAATGAGAGGACAAAAAGCGAATGTCCGGCGCTTTAATCGGATTCCAAGTCAATGGTGCACATGGGCTCCAGTATCGTGCGGGAACAAATGGCGTATGAACCAATTGTTAGTCACCGGCTTCCATGGGATTGCATCTCCTTACGATGCTCCACTGCCTTGTGGGTTAGACCTTCAGGTCGAAGGCTCGGGAAGTGGCCCTCTAAGAGAACCACCTGCTTCGGTTTGGGCACCCGAGTAGTATCACAGCCCTCACACATATCGAATGAGATTTGTGTGGCGCATATGTATTTGGTGCCTTCTTGTACCAATATGTATGTGTTGAAATAAATAAATCTAACCATGAAGATGAGTGAACTTTGCGACAAAATAGATTGGTTCCTCCATAAATTGTGGTCTTACCTGTTCGTAATCTTAGGTACTAGTAAATTCCTTAAGCTTATCGATCGCAAGTCTTAGCTTTTTTAAGCATGTTTTATTTGGAAAACGTTGAGGCAATTGGTGGCACACAGCTCAATATGTCCAGATAAACGCGAAAGACAGTATTTCTCTCCGAAGTATTTCACAATACATTTTTACTAAGCTGACTTATTTACCTTTGTCACATATGTATCACCTAGTGTTGTGTATAGTTTTCAGTGTAAACATAAAATGCACTCGGACTCACTATAGCTTTTAACCGTCAAGGGTCACCTCTAAAATTTATTGGGGTTTTTTTCTGTGCTTATTGTTAGTACTGAACTTATCAATAACCTACAGCAGATTACAGGCTGTTCACAATTTATGTTACCAGTGATATTGAAATATGTTAGTGTTTCGTTCGTCATTGATTTGGCATGTGGATCTAAAAAGCTGTCTTTCAGAAATTATTTTCTGACATTGCAGGATGTAGAGAGGCAAAATGGCTTAACCTATGAAACTGGTTTCACCATTCAATAATGGGTGGTGTAGCAGTATCTAGTCAAAATCAATATTCTGCGACGAAAAAAGCGATTAGGATTTACGACGTTCTGCTGACCAACCTAAATCATCAGCATCTAAAACATTCAGTTTCAGTAATAAGCTATCCAATTTTAACGTACATAAATAATCATAATAAATTTCATTAGAAATGCAAAGTAGCACTAGTCTATATATGTTCAAGACGTATAGGGTGGCTCCCAAGTAGCACAGCGTTAAAATAAAGTAGGTGCCAACAGATACATGTTTTCAGTCTAAATTTTGTTTACGAAAAGCAATCGTGTGTCATCGAACTAATAGTTAAGTAGCAATTTCAACGATAACTTTCTTTCTAAGTGTCATCCAATAATACAAGTTCAAAAGATTCATTTACAATAAATGGGTTGTCTTCTCTTGGTTATTCAACCAGACGTTTATTGTATATGATTTGAGACAGGGAGTGATTTAGTCGGAGACGTTAGTGTTGAAGTTATTTAGATTGCTAAACGAAGATTCAGTACCAATTATCAAGGTCGATAGCATTTCGAGGGTGAGGGTGTACTAAACTAAACTTACTCATCTTTTTACAGTAAAATCAAACACCTATCACTTCAAAGAACTAACTTTAACGATACTATTGATCGTCAGCAATATGCAAATCATATTTTAAAAAATTTCACTAAGGTACTATATACACTAACGTTATAACTAATTTTGGAGTTATACAGGTTAGTGTTTTTGTACTAATCGCAAAATTGGAGAAGCATTATTGGGTGAATATAGGGTGTTAGAAGATTTTATGCATTGAGTTCGCATATTGTTGTATTATTAGTATCCTAATTTTCCTCAGTGCTTTGTTTAATTGGAAAATCTTTTATAAACGTGGGTTTAATCTAAATACGTCACACAGTTTATCATAACTTGAACTAATAACAACAAACGATAGCTTTCATGCCAACAGTCATTGGTTTATTTATACAACTTATAAGAATTGAATTTAAGTCTATTTTAATTTTGTTTACCTAGGTTTGTTCTCAAAATGAACTCACTACGAAACGTTAATGGAATGTGTAATTTATTTGGATCCATTGGGGTTTTTATTCCAGTTGCAACAAGAAATATGATGGGGCTTTTTAATGTTCAGTCTCGATCCTATAAAATGCACGACCATTTAGTTCGGAGATGCTCAGATTGTTATTTTGACCGACGTGAAGGCAGGCTTTATGTTGAGTGCAAAACACATCCACGTCATAAACAAGCTCAAAAAATGAGACCACCGCAAGTTCCATGGTTATTTAAACGTCCAATATGGAAAACTGTGCGTTGGTAAAGTAGAAATTCACCATACACAATGAGCTGTAAACATTTATTATGACAAAAAAATTCCGTACTAAGTAAGCCTTTAGTGATCATAAAATTTTTTAACATGTGAATTATTATCAGTCATATCGTTCATGATGTCTTGAAATAAAATTATCTGTACAATTAAATACTGAAAGTTACTAGAAAACAACAAAACTTGTCTAATTTGTTCCATTTTACTGGTTTGATGAGATACAGAAGTGGTCCATTACTCTAAGCTTATGGCTTTACGATTCCTTTTTATATTCTGTGTATACCTTCACTATTCAGCAATACTTAACATGTTATATTGTAGTGTAAGCACGCCAAATGAACGGGTTTAAGACAACATTGTTGAACAAACAAAATGAATATTGTTGGAATTCTTTAAAGGAATTACGGTAACGACACGAAGTATTCATCAGAATGGTAGACCGAAACGAATAGTAACTAAAAAGGGGTGCTACATCGTCTGTATTAGAATGTATTAAGAATAATACAGAATAAGATTAAAGTCGAAAACAATGCATACTTGAGCTTTTTTCGTTATAAGTATCTACTAATCAAGACTTAATAACGAAGGATTGAGGGACTGCAGTGAATGAGATTTGCATTAGTCTTTATAACTCACCTTTTTGGATAAACGTTCAACATAAATAGATGGGTTACGCTTACTTTTATTACGTCGTTTTCACTCAGAATTTCATTGTTAGCATGCCTTTTAAAAATGAGTCACGTGACAGTAACTTGCTGGTCTCCTAATTAGTGTGTTAGTGAAGTTAAGAAAGATAACTAAACAATGAAGAATGCTTTAGAGCCATTACATCAGATAAACAGGTTTTTAGTTTATGATATAGTGAGCTAATCAAGGGTAGCCAAATGAGGTCTTCTTGCTCAAGTGGTCACTTGGGGGGTTAGCGCGTAGAATTTTGTGTATCAGTAACAGATTTCGGATAGTGCCTATCATATCAGTTTACATCATGGACTCATCTTAGTTAGGCAATCATTGAAAAAAAACCTGGACAACGTTTTCGTTCTAGAACAGGAATCGTCAGTAGTACGTACCCACGACCCCACCACGGATCGAACACCAGTTTATTGATCTTCCCCATATTCATGTTTCGATTTCTGTGCCCGACTTTCTCCATTATATAGATTCTGTCTGCAATGCTTCTTTATATACTGAACTAAAGTAAATAGATGTGTAGTGTTACATAATACAAGACATGGTATTGAAAATCTGAGAAATTACCAGAATGCAAATGCTAATTTTATCAAGGCTTGGGCTCGGTATTTCGAACGAATGTATCTTATGAGCGTTTGTATCCACTGAGCAGTGTATCATATTAGAACAGAACCACTATTTTATTTGTACAGCCTAATAAAAGTGCTCTTATGAACTTTCGTTAGTTGAAGATGGGTTGTACTTGCACGCATTGCTTTATCAGTTTAAGGTCAATAGTGCTTGGAAGCAACGAATTCTTTAATTGTTCACTAAGTCATAAAGACTAAAGGCAAATTTAATATCAATAATTATTTACACTTCCATTTATGTACAAAACGAAAACTGATTTCACAGAGTTCGCAGAAAATTGTCGTAATCCTCTTCTGTGGTAAATCCGTATTTTTGACAAAACTCATCGTCGTCTTGTAAAACTATAGAACTGAGAGGTGTATATAGGGGTCTACAAAACAGTAATAACAATTTAATTAGTTTCGCATAATAATACTTCCTTGGATTCATGCGACAAGTTGTATTCAAAATTCTGCACTATAAGGGTAATGGGCCAAATTACAGGTTATAACAACGATTATTCTATCTATATCCTACTTTGAGCTAGATAAATAGTCTACGCAAAACAGTTATCTTTCAGTACTGAAAAATGTGTAATTTCCTGTGGGACCACCACATATTCGATTTCAGATCTGTCACTTTAGCTAACATTAAGCATGAAGCCACAAAATACCTAAATTGAAAATAGAACACTATACACTGTGATGCAGTGAAAACGTAATCAGCTATAAAAGTGAAACGTGTATTTAAGATTGCAGTGGAATTCTACACAACGATTAATTTTTTGTCTACATAACAAAAATATAGCTGAATCTTCTCTAAATTATGTTAATATTCCTAGCAAGGTAGAGGTGATACTGCAAAGGTCTCATTACGAGGTCTACTAGTTGCTCGAGATTTTTATCCAAATACTGGTTCACGTTTTCTAATCAACACACAAGTGACTTCATTTATGATGATGGAAGAGTAAATGGTGTCCTTCACTGGTTTTTTCAGATTAAAACCGTCAATTATTGAATGTTCAGCTTTCTATAGCAGTGATTTTCCAATACCTCAAAAGTACATGACATCTACATCAAACTACTTTTCAATAAATTGGTTTGAAATATATCTTTCGGCTGTATTAATTGGCATTCCTATGCAACTAAACTTTGAATTTTAATGAGAAAGTTTAAGATTTATGCAATTCTTACAAAATATTCAACTCACTTGGTTGGATCTGGCTGAAACAACTTTCGACGCACGAGAAATGTGCATCGTTGATGTAGTAAATGTGGTGCAGCAGATAAAGCTTCTGGCCATATTTGTATGAGATCAACTGGAAGATTAAGATGCCAGTGCATAATTTTGAAGTTGTCTGACAGATGTTGACGTTCTGCGTGAAATTGACGGTTAAAAAAATATTGCATACTTATTAACCATGATTAAGAAAAGTCTGTTTTTAATATTACCTAATGCTGATAAAATGCTTCACTTTAGTCCGAGTTGTCATTATTTATGCATAGCAGCATGTAGTGCCTAAAGGAAGTAAACCCAACCTTGGCTTGTATTGCCTGTCAAAGCGTCACCGCGTCGCCGCTAATTTCTACTTATAAATGTTCATTGCAATTTCAACTTTAATCAATAGAAGCCACCCAGACCTGAAGATGACGATATTAATCTGGCGTTATCACATCGGTGAGCGATTTGACACCCAATAAACACCTGCTAACGAAATGTATACTAATTCTTTAGAATGAAAGACTTAAAATTGCTGGAAAGATTGACTATAGTCTTCTGGATGGTCTACTTTGTTGGTCGAAACTGTTCGATTTCAAAGCTCTTATAATTAACATCCTAAATGTATGTCGCCAACATAGCTTTAGTATTTAAACGAAACAATAATCTCGCTTTGGAACTCTAGATTTTCACTAACTTATGGCACTAATCAAAATTTAGGTAATGTAGCTCTACAGAAAATGTGATAGCTCAAAACTTATGTCTCGACAACCTTAGTAATTTCACTTCCTTGATAGCATGGGTTAACCTACATAAGGATCTTCATTTTAACACTTCTAGTAGACTCAAAACTTAATATGGACTTTCATTTTAAATGGTTGCTTCAGCTGATTTATTAGCTTTTCTATTTTTGTTTACTTTTGTTATATACATTCTTTGACAGGCAAAAATTTCTCATTCTTAGATATTCAGAATTGACTTCCAAACATGAAATCTATTTATCGAGAGTACACAGATGGTAACGTTGACACCCTAGAATGGATGTTTTGTATGCGTGTTCTCTCTGAATGTAAATGCTGTAGTCAAGTCCTCAGACCACTTGTTTCATCAGCTGTAATGGTTTTATTGTTGATGAGACGGTCGCACGAATACATACGACGTACTTTGATTTTATGGAATGGCTAAACTTGTGGTCCATGAAAGATTTCCATCCGTCTACCAAGGGGCGAGTATATTTTCCACCAATTCACTCTATGCATCTATGAAATAAGACCTATGAAATCAAAAAACGTATGTAGGCTTCAGTGTTTGATTTTAGGCGTTATCGGATAGTTGCTCTCATATAGTGGAACTACCAAATGAATGATTCTGAAGGTAGGGGCGGGGTCTGAGATAGAAAGGGGAAGTTGATTGATAAGGTGACGAAGACCTTAATCGACTGAGGTGGTTGGGATGTGTTACTCATGCTTAACTATCGCCCGAATTGACACAACTAGCTGGAATGGGAGTCGGTTGGAAAAAACTACGGACGTGGAGTACAAGATACGATATCATCAGTTCATGAAACCACGGACTGTTGGTTTGAGCAGTTTCCGTATGTATAGACTTGTATGTATGATCATAAACTACGGCTCGAGTTCATTACCATGATTAACAATTCAACGAATTTGCACCGTTGCAACCATTAATTATCTTCTACATTTTCAGATTAGCGTTATTTCGTGTGTTTCAACCTTCGGTTTGATTTGTTTCGTTTGGACTATGTTTAGAGCTTTTAGGTTTATATTGGGGCTAAAATTTTCTTCATCCTCTTTTGCTTTTATTAACTTTTTGCTTCGCTACGTTGAGCGGTGTAGCAACTCGTATGAATACATTTCGGTAGCATATCTTGGGTCATCTATGATTGGTTGCTTGTCCCATGGGAATATTTTAATGAGGTAAACACAAATGATTAAGCATTTGTAACCAAGATAGTGCAAATGTATTTTTTACTTGAAACAAATTGAGCCTTTATTCAATACATATAAATCGTCAGCATCTGTTCACGATAATTATTTTTGATCTACTTATTAAAGCAAACCGAGACTTAAAAGATGAAGTGGTAAACAGTGGGTAAAAATTACCTGTTATCAATAACTTCGGGCTAGTAAGAATTAATTCATGTATAACTGACTGTGAAAATCCCATCATTTTTGACAGTACAACAAAAACATCCTGAAAAAGAATAATGGAAAGCGTAATTTTTAAATATAAAGCTTACGACTAATGTAAACAACGTAGTGTACAAACAGTCAATAGCTTTCAGTAATAAATTTGAAAATTTTATAAATTGCAACTAACAATTGGTTAAATGGCTTGAAAGGATTAGAGGAAGTCGAGCCAGCAAGTTTTTGATTAACGCGTAAGATAAATACCGTCCAGCTATAATTAATTTATTGTAGGGTTATTTAAATTTTCAGCTTGCAAGCGGTGTGGCTTGTCAGCGTTTAAGTATTCAGGTCTCAACTAACAGGACGCACATTCGATCCAACTAGCCTTTTTCAGCCTTAATACAACAACCGTAGCTTGAAGTCGGTTGGGTGCAGTTGTACTTGATTATGTGCCACACAATCCTAATTTTATGAATAATTTATTTATCAAAAACTTTCTAAATTTAGAAATGACTGGATATATCAAACACTATGTTTATATCGCATTTGGAAGTAAGGCTTCAATTATTATTTAAATAGTACAGTCAGTTACAAATGTGAGGTGTCCCAAAATTAACGTTTTCAAAGGAATCTAACACAACTTTAACGACTGCTAGACTGTGAAAAAAAACCTTATTCCTATGTTGGTATTAGGGTTCAGAACAAACTTTGTTGCTAAAAACGTTCTCCAATACATGAGGCGACTAACGTTTAAAACTTACCTTAATTTTTGGTAATGGGTGTATAATGATTTTAGGTTCCGTCGTGATTACTTTAACAATCTCTGAATCTAAAGCAATTTAGAGAAAATAATACGCAGTTAAATTACTTTCTAACTGGATGAGTGACTTTATTTGACCAAGATTTTTATCTATTTCGATGGGCGATTTTTTGAGTATATTAGGAATTCGACATATCATTGTTACAACATCTGTAGACGAAACTTTCCGATCTGTAAAATAAGTTAATCGTGCACTGATTTCGCACAGTGTTAGCTAAAACGTATGAACTTAAAATAAGTCGTACTTTAAGTAATTTTGGGAACGCCGTAATAATCCGAGCGATTTGTTTAGGTTGGAATCCAAAGTCTGAAAGTCGCCATAGTATAGGTTCAACATCATTATGAAAATCAAGCTTCATCAACATATTTGCAACACCTGGAACAGCTTCAACTTTGGACAAATTAACACCTAGTTTCACAAGTTGTGACAGGGTAAAAGAACTACAGATATGTATTATTTATATATGTATATACCTTGGGATGTAGGCGGCAAGATTGGCAGAAGATAGCGGCACATGAACCAGTTCGTCTAACTCTAACTCCTTAAACCATTGGGATAATATATTTATGCTCTCTTTTGGTGTTTGGTTGGGATTTAAGTAGGCTTTTATCTGTTTATGTGGCAATTTATTGTTGCCCGGCAAAGATTGGATGGATTTCTGGGTTTCTAGAAATTTACGAAGCAAATTATTGGACGTTCGAAGTGGAGTCTTCAAAGTATCACAATTGGTGTGATGAAGCGTTAACTCACATAATGGTTTCTCAAAATGTTTTTCCTGATTACACTTAGGAAACTGACGAGTTTTACGTACGCTAAAATCTTTAGTATCTGGTAGACCTTCGGTTAAGTTATTTGTGCTTTCCAGAGTGTGTGCTTCAGAAGACGGTGGTAATTTCAAACTTTTTTGGCTCAACATGTTTAAGAGCGATTTCGTGTACACCTCATCCATGGACAAGCTGTATTTACGGAATACGTGGACAATTGTATACTGAAGGTGCGCACCGTGAGAAGTAACCCTGAACATTTTAAACTATTTTCCTCAATTATTGGTAAAAGAGCACTCGAAAAATGCCTCAGAATCCAATTTTGCAGGCTCGGGTCTCTTTCCAACCAAACTGAAAACAAAGGAAAGCATTCTTTATTGGAAAACAGAGGTGATAATTTTTAGGAATATTACCAGCCAACTGTAGCAATTACTCCTGTGATTGTTTTGTATCATAATGTTTATCAAGTGAAGATAATAACCACGATACATTTACTTCTTAATATTGTATATGAAAGTGCTTTTTACTATGAAGGAGAGTGCAATCAAAACTACACAACTTAACAACGGTGTAAAATATACTTTGCCATAGCAAAGTCCATACACTTCTTCCAATCCACACGATGACATGATCTAACGAGATTCCTTATCGGTATTCTGACGAGTAGATATAATTTCAAAAGCCGACAGAAGAGTATGTAAAACGGAGACATAATTTGAAATAAAAGTAGGCTCACTGTTCACCCCTTCGATTAGTGCAGCGACAACGTATATATTTTACAATAGTGTGGATAAGGAACTATGCATCCATATTTTGAAGATATAATTTTTATGAATAGCACAACATAAAATATCTATAATGATTATCAAGGCAGGCCATAAAAGACTGTACAGGTCCATATCTTGCCAAAAGGTACTCTGTGTACTAAAGTAGGATGCAGAGTACAATACATAAACAGACTATAAATTAAGGACGAACAGATAAGTCAAGGGATAGAGATCCTCGAGTTTTAGGGTGGAACTCATTCATCAATAAGGCTAATACCATTTCGACACCATAGCTGTCAGTGTATGACTGTATTTTTGAACGACATTTGAGCGAAGCTAGAGTGACGCTGAGAATGTCCACCTACTAACTAGAACTAAATTGTTATAAAGCAGCGTGAAGAATTCGAATCGTGATTCACAGTTGAGGGTTAGAAACTAGACCTAGGATTTGCATCACAAACTAAAATTCCAAAAAGCTGTTAGACTAAGTGATTGAATTGATTTCGCGCGAAAATTCAAGATCTGGTATCCTTTGTTTGATTGGTTCGTCAATAATTGATAGTCTCGACAAAAAGGCTTAGTCCCGATTTCTATCTCTAACGTCCAATTGTGAACCCAGATCCTAATTCCTTATGCCAAATTTTAACACTAGTAAGCGGGTGGACGTTGTCAAGGCCAGTGTTTTAATGTCATCCAGTAGAAGACCAGTATAGGTCGTAGCTGCATATACCACAAGCAATACACTTATATTTAACAAAGAGACTAATTGGCAAAAGCCAGAAATAACAAAACCTTAGGGGCAGGATAGTCACGGAATCGAAACTGAGACCAGATAGTTCACTAGCCCCACAGAGATCAATTATGATTAAGCTGGACTTTCTTTGAGCACACTGTGACCTTCAACTTATGAACGCGCGTTCACTTTCAAAATGTACTAACAAATTATAAATGCACGATGAAGTTTAAGCTAGTTAAGTACGCAGAATACGGTATACAACTATGGCACGAAAGAGTATAAAACGCCACAGTAGCAAAATCAGAAGTTGGAGAAGTGTTTTCTGGGTAAGAATCAAAATGTACAGGAAATCATAGGTATTTATAGACACTGGTGTTTGTTGTAACACCATTACAATTCAGCCAATCCGCAAGGATGTGATTTATGCTATTGTAGAATGCCACGTTGATATTCTAGGAAGCTACACCACTTTCTAATTAGACGAAAACCCTTCAACTCATCAAGGGTCTCTTGAGACTCCGTCGTGTTTGTCGGAAGCCGTGCCAATATTTATGTAGTTCTGTTTCACATGCAAAACGAAAGACGGATGTCACCCATGTGTAGTCATGAAACTCGAAATCGTTCAATATTTTTGATCAAAATATCTTGTTTATTCATTGGGCCAAACGAAAATCATGGAAAACTAAAAAACGCAAAATTAAGCTGATATGTGTCACATGGAGTCATGGATGTTTTTATACCTCCAAAGACCCTAATACTGAAGGTTTGTAACGATTCTTGTTTCCGTAATTTGCTGTTCAGTTTAGTATCCCGATATTTCTGCAATTATATATATATATATATAATAATATTTCTGCATGCGCAGGTACACGCCATTTTTACAGGCATGATCTATAAATTACAACACTTGTTGGTTCACAAAATGCTTCGCAACTTGTTAAGTTTATAGTTGTTATAAAGTATACTCGCAGGGCGCCTGCTGTAAACCATGACCTTGAGGAGACAGGTACGTCAAGTTTGTTCCAGACGTCAGAAGTTTCATAGCTGTGCCCTCAGAGCAAATTTCCTAAGAAGAAAAAAAGATAAACAGAAGGGCAGAAAGGCACTTGGATATGAACGCCAAACGTTGCTTAACATTGTGTAGTAGAAAGGACAGAGGTATAATAAATTAGAATAAATTCATATTATTTCTTGTTACAGTGAAATGAAGTCAGAGGCTCCATATTAGAGAATGTAGTAATAAAGAACAATGAGTTGTGTCGTTTAACGAGTTTTAGTAAGCTCACATGAATGAATAGAAGTCAAGGCTGGTACAAGGAAAGCGGTTTATTAGAAGGGTGTGTATATAGAGGGTGAAGTGTTAAGAATACTAATGACTATATCTTTTGTTGTCTAACTTTTTTCCTTTTTTTCTTTATCCGATACCAGCCACACAATCCGAGTGTAGAAGTCCGAGTTAGCATGTTATAGGTTGTCTTAGTAGAATAGCTAATCCAGCATAATATTGGAAACGTGAGTCCGAGCGGTGAGCGTAGGAAAACAATCTATATCACAGATTGATTGACTTATTGTCAATCATAAAGAGCCTGATACATACTAAATGTTCTGCCCCCACAATCACGGGTGGATTGAAGTTATCGCCCTCACCATCGATGCTTGCTGGTCAGTAAATTCTCATGAGCTTCAGAATTCCGTTATTCTAGGTACCATTCACTTATAGATTATCAGCCTGCTAAATGTCTGCCTTGTTATCACTCCTGAGTCCAAAAATATGAATTTAACAGAGTTCTCTGATGGCATCCACCTAATTCTATCGTAGATTTGATAGCGCAGCTTTGTTTTCCTGGCCAGAACTACACAAAACAAACATCACGTTACGTAAAATTCTGTTATTCTTCGGATCCCCGACAAACAGTTTATCTACAGAAATCTCTTCCTTTATTTGAACTTACTCCACCTTGGTAAATATTACAAGTCATTGTACTTTATTACTGTATTCTCTCATCTGGAGCCTCTGATCACATTTCACTTTAGCTACAACAGCTTACTTACTTACTTTCGCCTGTTACTCCTAATGGAGCATAGGCCGCTGACCAGCATTCTCCAGCCCACTCTGCCCTGGGCCTTCTTTTCTTGTTCTATCCAATTCTTGTTCATTTCTCTCATGTCTATTTCCATTTCCCGGCGTAATGTGTTCTTTGGTCTTCCTCTTTTCCTTTGACCTTCAGGATTCCATGTGAGGGCTTGTCTTGTGACGCAGTTGTGTGCTTTCCTCAATGTGTATCCTATCCACATCCAGCGCTTCTTCCTGATTTCTTCCTCCGCTGGGATCTGGTTTGTCCTTTCCCACAGTACGTTGTTGCTAATAGTGTCCGGCCAATGGATCTGAAGTATTTTGCGTAGACAACTGTTAATAAACACCTGTATCTTCTGGATGATGGCTTTCGTAGTTCTCCAGGTTTCTGCCCCATACAGTAGAACTGTCTTGATATTTGTATTGAAAATCCTGACCTTGATGTTGGTTGACAGTTGCTTTGAGTTCCAGATGTTCTTCAGTTGTAAATATGTTGCTCTTGATTTGCCGATCCGCGCCTTCACATCTGCATCAGATCCACCCTGTTCATCAATGATGCTGCCCAGATATGTAAAGGTTTTTACATCTTCCAAATCTTCTCCGTCAATTGTGATTGGATTGGTGCATGCTGTGTTGTATCGGAGAACTTTGCTTTTCCCTTTGTGTATATTGGGATCTACTGCTGCTGAAGCTGCTGCTACACTGATCGTCTTCTCCTGCATTTGTCGTTGCGTTTGGGATAGAAGGGCCAGATCATCTGCGAAGTCTAGATCATCCAACTGCATCCTAGATTTCCATTGTATCCCATGCTTCCCCTCAGATGTTGATGTCTTCATGATCCAGTCGATCACCAGGAGAAAGAGAAAGGGTGAGAGTAAGCAACCTTGCCTAACACCGGTCTTCACTTCGAACGACTTTGTCAACTGTCCTCCATGCACGATTTTGCAGTGTAATCCATCATATGAACTTTGCATAATATTGACTATCTTCTGAGGCACGCCTTAGTGTCGAAGAAGTTTCCATAGTATTGTTCTGTCAACGCTATCAAATGCCTTTTCGTAGTCAATGATGTTGATGTAGAGTGATGGATTCCATTCAACTGATTGTTCCACAATGATCCGTAGAGTTGCGATTTGGTCTGTACACGATCTATCCTTACGGAATCTTGCATGTTGGTCACGAAGTTGGGCGTCTACACAGTCCTTCATCCTGTTCAACAATACCCTGTTGAAGACTGTTCCCGGTATTGAGAGAGGAGTGATGCCCCTGTAATTATCACAGTTGATCGGAAATCCTTCTTTCCAGTCTTTTGGTACTTGTTCTTCATCCCAAATGTTATTGAAAAGAATGTGGAGTATCCTTTCAGTTACTGTTACGTCTGCTTTTAGTGTCTTTGCTGGAATGTTGTTTGGTGCTGCTGCTTTGCCACTCTTGATTTGTCTGATGGCCATGCTGATTTCTTCAATTGTTGGTGGGCCAACATTGATTGGGAGGTCCGTGGGTGCTGCTTCGATGTTGGGTGGGTTCAGTGGAGCTGGTCGAGTTCTTTGAAGTGTTCTACCCACCTGTTTTGTTGCTCTTCAATGTTGGTGATTACCTTGCCTTCCTTGCTTTTCACTGGTCGTTCTGGTTTGCGGCGATTTCCAGAGAGTTTCTTTGTCGTGTCATACAATTGTCTCATGTTCCCTCTCTTGCAGCCTTGTCCGCCGTCGTTGCTAAATCTTCCACATATTTACGTTTGTCGGTTCTGATGCTCCTCTTCACTTGTTTGTTTACTTCTGTGTATTCAGCTTGTGCCTTGGCTTTTTCTGCTCTTGTTCGACTAGTATTGATTGCTGCTTTCTTGATCCTCCTTTCCTGAATCTTATCCAGTGTATCAACAGTGATCCATTCCTTGTGATGATGCTTCTTGTGACCCAGGACCTCATGACATGTTGAAGTGATTGCCTCTTTGATCTCCTTCCAGTTGCTCTTCACAGTAGTTCCTTCTCCATTGAGTAGATCATGAAAGGCCTGGAACTTGTTGCTGAGGACTATCTTGAATTTGTTGAGTTTGTTAGTATCCTGGAGAAAGGCCGTATTGAACTTTTGTGATACTGTCTGCCCTGTTGTCCAGTGCTTCTTGAGTTTCAATTTCATCTTGGCGACCAGTAAGTGATGATCTGATGCTATATCAGCTCCTCTCTTGGTTCTCACGTCCTCTATAGTCCTCCTGAACGTTTTGTTGATGCAAATATGGTCGATTTGGTTTTGTGTAGAGTGATCCGGTGAAGTCCATGTGGTTTTGTGTATGCGTTTATGTGGGAATACGGTGCCGCCTATGACCAGTTTATTGAAGGCACATAGGTTTGCAAATCTCTCACCATTTTCGTTTCTTTCTCCCAGTCCGTGTCGTCCCATGATTTCTTCATATCCAGTGTTGTCCATTCCAACCTTGGCATTGAAATCTCCCATCAGAATGGTCAGGTCCTTTGTTGGGCACTTCTCGATGATTGACTGCAGCCTATTGTAGAATTGATCTTTAGCGTCTTCATTGTAGTCGTTGGTAGGCGCATAGCATTGGATGATGTTCAATGAAATGCCTTCTTTCTTTGTTTTGAAGGAGGCTTTGATGATCCTTGGTCCATGAGATTCCCATCCTATAAGTGTCTTTTGTGCTCGTTTTGACAGCACCAATGCAACTCCTTGTGTATGTGGCAGCATTTTCTTCCTCATGGCCGGAGTATAGCAGAAGCTCAACTGAAGCTAGTCGTTGTTGTCCAACTTGTGTCCAGTGTGTTTCACTGGTCCCAGGCACTTCTAGGTTGTGACTCCTCGTTTCTGCAGCAATTTGGAAGGCTCTCCCGGTGTTCCACATTGTACGAACATTCCATGTACCTAAATAAATGGTTGCTCTGGTTGTTAGAAGGGGCATCAGCCTCGTAACTTCCGAAGGAATTCGGCTTTCATCATGAGGCGTCATAACTCTTCTAAATGAAGACCTGACTCCCAAGGCAGAGTTTAAAAGGTCTGAATATTTTTTTCTGGTTAGCATTTTTTTATCGAGTTAGTTTTCTACGGGATGGGGTCGCTAACCCCATGCCCAACCCTCCTCCTTT